TTTTAAAAGATTATTAAGCACAAAAATAGTTAATTACGCCATAGAATTCAGTGTAATAGTAAACTAAATGTAACAACATTAAATAGCACTGAGATAACCTTGAATAACAGAGAAAACTAACATTGCCGCATCAAGGTTTCGAATCGTTTAAAAAGATGATTGTTTCATCTGCTACATCAGTCGGTCGATTCTGAGAGAGAGAGAATATTCGTATGAGCAATTCATGTTTCTATTGAAAGTAAGTTAACAGTAATATTTGGGTACAGTATTTTTGTTTTTGGAAGCATTCACCGTAATATCGTATCAACGTTTACTTCACCGCATCATCGTATGAATGATGCGAGAAGAGATTAACGGGTTCTTAAGTTAGCGATTTACGTACTAGGCGCTTTCGCTCTCTAAATTACAGCTTGAATGAGGGGGAGGGGTATGACTACACTCACAAAATTTATATCTTACTAGGAATTTTATATAACAAAAGTTATATACATAACTGTTACGCTTTGTGTAATTCAACAAAACAAACAACACTTAACTCCGAGTTCTCTCCAAATTTCACGAGTCCGTTCTAGACCCCACAGTTTTTAAAAAGAGTTTTAAGCACACAACACATAATTAAAGTTTAAAAAATCATTAATTATATAAACTTTTCAATAATTTCCTTCTTCACTTCGATTTAAATTTTCTTTAAAACCTTCTTCTCACCAACATTACCACTCATTACCACTTTCTCCGAAGGCAAGTTTGTAAAATAATGCATGGTACAGACAGCAGACATCTTGTGTCCGGAGATCAAATGCAAATTTGAAAAAGACAGCTTATCACGCAGGACTGTGACTCGCCGTGTGGAACTGATTGATAAGAAAATATAGCCAGTCAATTAAACAAAAAGTCTGATTCCTTTGAATTATATTCACTAGCACTGGATGAAAGTACGGACGTAAAATACACTGCTCAGCTCCTCATTTTTATCCGAGGCATTGAGAATTTTGCGATAATAGAGGAGGTTTTGACCATAGAGTCACTGAAAGGAACAATGCGGGGAGAGGACTTGTATAACCAGGTATCTGCTGTCATCGAAAGAATGACGCTACCTCGGAGTAAACTTGTCAATGTCACAACGGATGGATCGACAAATTTAACTGGAAAAAATGTTGGGCTGCTGAAAAGAATCCAGGATAAAGTGAAAGAGGAAAACCCTGTCCAGGATCTTATCTTCACTGCATAATCAAACAGAAATCCCTGTGTAAGTCTGCATTGCAGCTTAATCGTGTCGTGAATCCAGTCGTAAAACTTGTGAACTTTATACGAGCAAGGGGACTTCAGCACCGTCAGTTTATTACCTTCCTGGAGGAAACTGATGCGGATCATCAGGACTTGCTATACCACTCTCGTGTCCGCTGGTTAAGTTTGGGGAAAGTGTTACAACGAGTATGGGAGCTGAAAGAATATATCATCGCATTTTTAGAGTTGATGGGGAAATCTGACGAATTCCCTGAGCTAAGCGACAAGAACTGGCTTAGTGACTTTGCGTTTGCTGTGGACATATTTTCACACATGAATGATCTGAATGTGAAACTGCAGGGGAAAGATCAGTTTGTTCACGACATGTACAAACATGTGAAAGCCTTCAAATCCAGCTCACTTTGTTCTCCGGACAAATTGCGAACAAATCTTTTGCTCATTTCCCCACACTTGCCATGCAGGAAGAGGCAACGCGAAACGCAAAAAAATACAGCAAATCACTTGAGGACCTGCACGGAGAATTCTGCCGTAGGTTCTCTGATTTCGAAAACATTGAACAGTCACTTCAGCTGGTGTCCTGTCCCCTGTCACAAGACCCTGAAACAGCACCACAGGAGCTGCAGTTGGAACTGATAGATCTTCAGTCTGACTCCGTCTTAAAGGAGAAGTTCAACTCTGTTAAACTGAATGACTTTTATGCTTCACTTAACAGAGCCACGTTTCCAAACCTCCGGAGGACTGCACAGAAGATACTGACTTTGTTTGGCTTGACTTATGTGTGTGAGCAGACATTCAGCGTAATGAACGCCAACAAAGCCCGTCACAGATCAAAGTTAACGGATCAGCACCTCAGATCTATCCTGAGAATTGCCACAACCAAAATAACTCCAGACTTGGATGCACTGGCAAAAATGGGAGATCAACAACACTGTTCCCACTGAAACTGAAAGTGATGATGTGTTGCTGCAGCGAGATTTAAGCCAAATCTCCGCAACACAGCCTGCGTGGCTGCTCTAACCTGTTAATGTAGAGGTAATTGGTTTGGCGCAGGGCTCAGATGTTTTCATGATGTTTGATCAGTCACGTTACAACATGTTTTTGTATTGTTCATGTTCGTGCAATTTGTTAAATTGCCTTGCAAATAAATGCTTTGCTACCTGTTAAAGGCCAAATCCGTAATGATTTTACATGTCATTTTTATTAGTTCACACAAACACTCCATCCACCTGTTCCTGGCCCGGCCCCTCTGTCAAATTTTAGAACCCATTGCGGCCCGCGAGTCAAAAAGTTTGCCCACCCTTGTACTAGAGGATGTGTTCCTCAGCTAACGTTCCTCGTTAGCTCCTACTACACCCCTCTATCTCAGACCATCCTAAAGGAGGCTAACTGACCTGGCCCAGCTTCGGCTCACGTCCGACTCTCAGCCACTCGAGTCTGGGCCCTGGCTTGCCCTGCTCGGCTCTTATAAGAACTGCGAGACAGGATAGTCCCAGGGCTAGGCTAGTCGGTCTTCAATCTTCACTGGCTCTTCATTCAGCAGTTGGGTACAGCAGCAGCAGTTGGGTACAGCAGCGGCAGCAGTTGGATACAGCAGCAGCGGCAGTTGGGTACAGCAGCAGCGGCAGTTGGGTACAGCAGCAGCGGCAGTTGGGTACAGCAGCAGCGGCAGTTGGGTACAGCAGCAGCGGCAGTTGGGTACAGCAGCAGCGGCAGTTGGGTACAGCAGCAGCAGTAGCAGTTGGGTACAGCAGCAGCAGCAGCAGTTGGGTACAGCAGCAGCAGCAGTTGGGTACAGCAGCAGCAGCAGTTGGGTACAGCAGCAGCAGCAGTTGGGTACAGCAGCAGCAGCAGTTGGGTACAGCAGCAGCAGCAGTTGGGTACAGCAGCGGCAGCAGCAGTTGGGTACAGCTGCAGCAGTTGGGTACAGCAGCAGCAGCAGCAGTTGGGTTCAGCAGCAGCATTTGGGTACAGCAGCAGCAGTTGGGTACAGCAGCAGCAGTTGGGCACAGCAGCGGCAGCAGTTGGGCACAGCAGCGGCAGCAGTTGGGCACAGCAGCGGCAGCAGTTGGGTACAGCAGCAGCGGCAGTTGGGTACAGCAGCGGCAGCAGCAGTTGGGTACAGCAGCAGCAGTTGGGTACAGCAGCAGCAGCAGTTGGGTACAGCAGCAGTTGGGTACAGCAGCAGTTGGGTACAGCAGCGGCAGCAGTTGGGTACAGCAGTGGCAGCAGTTGGGTACAGCAGCGGCAGCAGTTGGGTACAGCAGCAGCGGCAGTTGGGTACAGCAGCAGCAGTTGGGTACAGCAGCAGCAGCAGCAGTTGGGTACAGCAGCAGCAGCAGTTGGGTACAGCAGCAGCAGTTGGGTACAGCAGCAGCAGCAGTTGGGTACAGCAGCAGCAGCAGCAGTTGGGTACAGCAGCAGCAGTTGGGTACAGCAGCAGCAGCAGTTGGGTACAGCAGCAGCAGCAGTTGGGTACAGCAGCAGCAGCAGCAGTTGGGTACAGCAGCAGCATCAGTTGGGTACAGCAGCAGCAGTTGGGTACAGCAGCAGCAGCAGTTGAGTACAGCAGCAGCAGCAGTTGGGTACAGCAGCAGCAGTTGGGTACAGCAGCAGCAGCAGTTGGGTACAGCAGCGGCAGCAGCAGTTGGGTACAGCAGCAGCAGTTGGGTACAGCAGCAGCAGCAGTTGGATACAGCAGCAGCAGCAGTTGGGTACAGCAGCGGCAGCAGCAGTTGGGTACAGCAGCAGCAGTTGGGTACAGCAGCAGCAGCAGTTGGGTACAGCAGCAGTTGGGTACAGCAGCAGCAGTTGGGTACAGCAGCGGCAGCAGTTGAGTACAGCAGCGGCAGCAGTTGGGTACAGCAGCAGCAGCAGTTGTGTACAGCAGCAGCAGCAGTTGGGTACAGCAGCAGCGGCAGTTGGGTACAGCAGCAGCGGCAGTTGGGTACAACAGCAGCGGCAGTTGGGTACAGCAGCAGCAGCAGTTGGGTACAGCAGCAGCAGCAGTTGGGTACAGCAGCAGCAGCAGCAGTTGGGTACAGCAGCAGCAGCAGTTGGGTACAGCAGCAGCAGCAGTTGGGTACAGCAGCAGCAGCAGTTGGGTACAGCAGCAGCAGCAGTTGGGTACAGCAGCAGCAGCAGCAGTTGGGTACAGCAGCAGCAGCAGTTGGGTACAGCAGCAGCAGCAGTTGGGTACAGCTGCAGCAGCAGTCGGGGACAGCAGCAGCAGCAGTTGGGTACAGCAGCAGCAGTTGGGTACAGCAGCAGCAGTTGGGTACAGCAGCAGCAGCAGTTGGGTACAGCAGCAGCAGCAGCAGTTGGGTACAGCAGCAGCAGCAGCAGTTGGGTACAGCAGCAGCAGCAGCAGTTGGGTACAGCAGCAGCAGCAGCAGTTGGGTACAGCAGCAGCAGCAGCAGTTGGGTACAGCAGCAGCAGCAGCAGTTGGGTACAGCAGCAGCAGCAGCAGTTGGGTACAGCAGCAGCAGCAGCAGTTGGGTACAGCAGCAGCAGCAGCAGTTGGGTACAGCAGCAGCAGTTGGGTACAGCAGCAGCAGTTGGGTACAGCAGCGTCGCAGCCCACCACGACTCGTCTTTGTCGCGGCCCTTCGAGTCGCCGCGGGCAATTTTCCGCGGCGCAGCTGCTGATGTTGCTATGGCAACCACGTGGGGTGGGGTGGGGGCGCGTGCGGCGCGTGGGCCGACCTCAGATAACCTCGCGCGTTCGTTTCGGGGGCATGACGTCACGGCCGAATCGGGGCTAACGACGTCACGACCGAAACGGGGCTAAAAACGTCACGTCCGGGGCAAGTGTGAGGGCGAGGAGGGGGTGGGGGCAGCGCGTGACCCCGTGAGGAAGACTTCGCCAACTGCGCATCCCACCGCTCCTCACACACTCATCACCCTGCTGCTTGCTCCGGCTTCTGGTGCCGCCGCCGCCTCCGCCGCCTTAACGAGAAGGTGGGTCGTAGAGGAAGTGCTGCGCCGGCAACGGTGTTAGAGCCAGGATCGCCGAGTGTCGGGGTGTTCGAGGACCGAGTATGGGGGCGGGGGAGTAGATTTGGGGGGATCAGGAGACGAAGTTATCAGGGGCTGGCGGTCTCCAAGGGGATGTGGAGGGGTCCCTGTCGTGTAGCTCGTCAGTGGTCGCGGTGTTTAGGTGGATGTTCCTGTGCTGAACCCATGAAGGAGCCGTGAGAGGCTGCGCGCCAGAATCTCTTGTCCCCCCCCCGACTGATCACGCGGGGCGCATCGTTTCGGTTCTGTTTGTGTGGAAGCTTCGCGTGGCGTCTGTGCGGTGTCCATCAACAACCGCACGCCGAGCGACGCGCGGAGGCACCGAGACAGTTATGGCTGCGTAACAATCGCATATAAAAAGATCCCCCGTTATAGCCTCAACAGACTGTTGAGGCTGTGAGCGAGCACCTGTGAAGGCCGACACTGCACGAGGGGGCGGTGTAGCCAGACCCAAGTTCCGGCGGCCTTCGTCTCCCTGGTGCTGATATTTACACAACGCATCGGGTACTTATTTAAGGATGAGTCGACCTAGGGGAGGCCCAGGACCGGTTCGGATAATCGTCACTGGTGTTGGTGGCCGTGAGCGGGAATCGAACTCTAGCCTCCAATGCAGCACAAACTACTCGGCCACCGCTCCCCATAACAAACAACAACAACCGCGCGCCTGGGACCTTCATTTCTCGGCTCAAGGCAGCACGGGGGCGGCCCTCACCCACTCGTTATATACTTGACCCAGTGTTGGGACATCCTACGTTCCTTTGGCAGGGATCGAGTCACTCAGATGTAATAGCGGCGCCAGGGTGGTGCTACCCCCCCCCCCCCCCTCTTCGGTGCCCGCTGCTTTCCTGGAGGAACATTGCGGACGTTTATAGCCCCGCGTCCGTCTCGTGTCCAACTCGGCGGTGAGCGGCGCCAGAGAGGGCAGTTGAGGCCGCGAGAGTAGCCGGGTTCTCCCCACCCTCCCCTGCGCGACTCCACGGCCGACGCCGGAGACACCGGCGCAGGCAGTGACCTTGATACACAGGCGAGAGAGGAGATGTCATTTCCCTCGCCTCGCCTGGCGTGCAGGCCGCGTGGGTTCGACCCCGACCGCGGACGATGCCTTTTGTATATTTGGAGTTTCCATGATCTCTCTCCCCGTGGTGGTCGCGTGGGTTCTCACCGTGTTTCCCCCCCTCCGCATTTACAAACGTGGGTCTTAGATTATTTGGCCGCTCCTCAAAATTCCCACCTGATATACGATACTTCGATGAGCTATCACATGTGACCACGTAGCCTCTGAAAAGAGCTAGCAGTTCAGTGGGCTTTACCTGGTAAAATGTAAATACTGTAGTTAAATAGACTCCACTCCTTGGTGCCACGGACTCTCTGACTGCCCTGCTCTCTCACATCGGTTGGACTCCTCGCCCACGTGTCACTGTCGGCCCTCAGAATATGGGCCCCCCTAAACAGTGGCTCGCATGGCAACGCAGCCCCGCAAGATATTTCTCAACGCCTTATCTTTCTCACGCTCCTCCACTTTTATCTCTGGGCGGTGGCGTGAACTCAGCGGTGATGCGTTCGCTACTTGAGTTTGACTATATTTGACTTGTTCCATGGACAATCCCATCTAGCCAGTTTCCCGGCTGTTTTACATGGGAGATCCGCGCGGCGTAAGCACAGCAACAGGAGATAAAAACGCGTCAAGGTTGCAGTGAACGAGTACTGGGTCCTTTATAAATAGAGTTCTTTCGGTAAAGTCACGTAGGTAGAAAAATAATAGATCACGACGCTTCGATCGCAACACAAGCAATCGTCATCAGGTGGGACAACCACAGCAAGAAAAAATGGAAGTATGCAAGAGATCTGCCATGGCACGAGGTTATATAGGCCTCGGCAGTAGGGGTGAGAGAGAAGGGGGGGGATACTTTTTACCAAACAAAGTTTTAACAATTGGAATTGTTTATAGGGATAAGGAGGCACTTGTGAGGCTACGGGGGGGGGGGGGTGTAGAGGAGCTGAGTGGCCCTTTAGGTAATTGGTCGATTTGTTGAAGAAGACCTTTCGGATGAAAATAGCACAGTGCTGGTCTCTGGATATCCATGGGAGACAGATGACAGTGAGTGTACAGGTTGCGATTGTGAGTTCCATAGGTGGGCGGTCAAGGGCAACACGGAGAGCACAGTAGTGGTGTCGTGCAATGAGACGTTTTAAGGCAGATTCAGAAGCTAGGTGGTAGATGTTGTCACAGTAATCAGACATGGGCAGGATGGTGGCAGTAGAAGGACTCTTCTACTTACGAACGAGTTAGGTTCCAGAGGTCAGTTTGTCCATCTTTACTCCTGTCCATTCCAAACATGTTGTACGGCATGTACACTAAACATGGGGAATGGTTTTAAAAGTTGCATAATCTCCTATAGATGTAGATGCCACTGGTTCATTATGTTCTGCAGATCTATTGCGCGGCAGTTGGACTTAGAACTCTCGGTCAAAACAGGCAACCGCACATACGGACAGGTTTGTTCGTATCTTTCAAAGTTCATAAGTCGACTGTAAGTAGAGGAGTCCTTGTATCTATATTCGAGGTGGAATGCAGCATTTGGTTCTGTATAGTAACCAATTTAATTTGTTTTTATCTTGTTGGCCACGTGGTCAATATGCGTCTCAAAAGACAGGATCGAGTCCAGAATAACGCCTAGATATTTAAAGTTGACCTCAATAATATGCGATTCCAGAGCCGCAATATGCATAGGTGGTGGGACAGGTTTAAGTCCTGTTTTAGATACTCTTGTAACTTCCTCCATGGAGTTTATAGAGCCCATCAGGACTGTCAGCAGGACTGTCAAAGTGCAAATTGGAGATGTCTCGATTGTTGATGTACGCGTTTTGTCAAGGTTCACAGTTTGAATCCCAGATCACCCTGATTATTACTGACGGTATAATTTCCAAAGAAATTCTACCTGCCGTCTGCCTCACAGTGACCCATGACGTCATTCGCAGACATCACGGGCTAAATTTGCCAAATTTGTTAATTACACGACAAAGAACGCAATTGGAATTATACACAGTGATAATCACCTCCTACTGGCAGACTACTGCCCCAGGTCACTCTAAATCCTGGTCTCCTGAGTTCTCACCTTCCCTATCTTCCCCCTTATCCTGCCTCTCTTATTGTGTCTCTCTCCAATTTCCTGTGACTCTGGGCCAACCACCGTCCGGGGTTGCCATTGCCAATTGGCACCTGCTGGCCCGGCACTGCACAGGGGGGGGGGGGGGCGTCCGATTCCAGCTCGAGCTGGCAGCTGTGATAGCACGGGCTGTGGGTAAGGGCAGGGCGCAGCATGGGGACTGTGGACCCTCGGCTAGCGTGGGCCCCTCCCCCTCTCAGGTAGGCAGGCAGGCCAAAGGGCATACCTGCCTGCGATGCGTGTTCAGGTGTGAGTGGCACGGGGCGGACAAGGACATTGCCGGGGTGACGCCGCTCGTTGGGATTCACTTCGAACTCACGGTGATGCTGCGGCGGTCAGCGCTTTCCTGTTGAACCGCGTGACCGATGCGTCGGTTAAACACCAGGTTCGGCGGTGCCTTTGACACGGTCTCGTTTCTGCAGCTGCACGTTCGCAGTGGTCGTCCCCTTGACACAGTGGAGACGCGGGGAGCAGCTTCTATTCCCTACTCTCTGTCTTTGGCTTGTCCAAACATGTGTAGTAAGTATTTAGGAGGCTTGACGACAGGGTCGGAGGCACACTTATTTATTACACCAACTTGTGCACAGTAACGGGTACACACAGTACTTAAGGGGGTATCGTCCCCTTCACTTGGCTACAGGGATACACAACATCTAACCCCGCTAACCTACGCCCAAGTCCTCCACTACGGAGCTAGGGGAGGCTACCTATCCCAGCCCTGGTCAAGCTGGGATCCCGGCACCCTGAGTCTCCAGACCGGCTCGTCAGTCTGGGCTCTCGCGGCCACGCCACCGGCTTGCCCTGGTCGACCCTGACAAGGACAGCGAGCCAGGGGAGCTCTGGGGCCTATTCTAGCTGGTCTTCCGTCTTCGCTGGTTAAAGCTGATCTCGACCTCGAGCCCTCCGGCTCACCACCCTTTATAGGACTCGGCCCCCGGGAGGGGCCCGTGGGGGATGCAGGTGCGGACGTCGGTGCGAGCACCTCCCCTGTGTACGGCCCTAACCCCGCCCATTGTGTTTGTTAGCCATCCGTGGCCATGCACAATTACACCTCTACCTCCGTGGCCATGCACAATTACACCTCTACACATGCACTCTTGTTCACTCTCTGGTTTTCTCTCCATAGCTGCTGCTTCGCTAAAAAAAACGCTTTGGAATACGTCGAATTTGGTACACGTCGTATTTTGACGAGAAAAAAAAAATGTCTTGGGATACGACGTCTTGCTTGGGATTCGACGCGCTTGCTAGAACTTGTTTGGGTCAGGATGAGTCACCGCGTACCCGCATATACCCCGTTCACGACTGAAACAAAGCGCCGCTCCTCAGTCTGTTTGTACAGTAGTTTTAATGGAAGGGGACTCTCCTTCAAAAAATAGCATCTCCTCCTCCTCCCCTTCCTTACCACCATCCTCGTAGGCTATCAACTCCTCTCAGCAAGGTATTTCAATTTATTTAAAATTTTTATGCATTTATTTTAATTTATGTATGCATTTTAGTAATAAGTAGTGTCTAAATTATATTATACAACCCCATTAATGTATAATATGCCATATAAAATATCATTTATTATACTCTGTAAGAGATTATTTCCTTTCGCTTTATTTCTTATGGTAAAAATTCGTTTGGTATACGTCATTTTCGTTTAAGTCCTTCTGGAACGAATTAACGACGTATACTGAGGTACCACTGTATTCGTGTTTCACACTTGGGAACTGACTGCTGATTTGCTGACTGCTGCTTCTATATCCCGAGTGATTGGCGGAACGACCGATATGCGTCTCAAAATACATCCGTAATTATGTTTTGAGTATTGCTGAGAGAAGAGTGCTCAATGTTCCGTTTCACTAGCCTTTTTCGGTTAGCAGACAGCACTGCACCGCGGTGGCTGTTGCAGCTCCACGGAGAGCGTCTATCGATCACAACATGGAGAGCTCCCTCTCTCTATCCCCGCCAGTGACCATGAACCCCCTGCTGTTGTGGCTGCTGCTGTTCGTTGTGAAATCGCCATCGTCTGTCGTGAAGCTGCTTGTCCGTTGCCGTAGTGTTCACTGCTGTGGCATTTCTCTTGCTGTGAGCACGGCGAGGCTCTATTGAGACACCAGTCTCTTGCGAGGGAGGCCTGGGTCGCAGTCCCTGAGGTGGAAATGCATCCCCCCCCCCTCGCATAAATTGAAATAATTGGTTCGCTTGATGTTGGCGCTATCATTTTAATAGTGCGGGGGCAATCACCGCATAGGAAGCTGCTGCTGCTGTGTTTCACCTTATGGCGGGACCCCGGGGTCCCGAATAAACGGAAGTCAAAATCGTAATTAATTAATATATTTTTGGCGACTCCGTCCCACCACGCACATCAACGCCGCGACCCACCTAGCGCGGATCATTCACCAAGCACCTGTCGTTGCCAAAATTGTCGTAGTCATAAACAAAACTTTTAAACTTTGATTAGTGCATCGTATAGAGCTCGTCAAGAGGAATAGATTGGCGTATCGTTCGCCTTCAACAGATATAAAATGAACTCGCAAAGCAGTTTATGCGAGAGCTGGGGGCTTATGGGACCCCGGGGTCCCGCCATAAGGTTCATATGTCACAGGATTACAAACGCACAAGGGACAGATTTAACGAGTCCCGTTGAGTCAACGTAGCAACGAGCCTGCCAGGAGACTCGGCATAACCACTCTTCTTCCTGGGGGGCCGTTCTCATGTCCCCTCCACTGCCCTGAGCCGTTAGTGGAAATTGCTAATTGCAATGGTGGGCCCGAATCTCTCTAGGTCAACTACTGTCATTTTACATCGAAATTGAAAGCTATTTTTTTTAAACTGCTTTTTGTGTTTAGTTTGTTGTCCTTCCTCCGCACCTCCGATTACACGGTTGGCTACGTACGGTGTGAAATAATTTTAACATACATATATGCAGAGTGGTAGTTATTTTACTAGCCCCAGAGGATTGCAGGTTGGGGTGGACCATGGTCTGAACTCAACACCTGTGGCATAAGAGAGCCTTGTAGCGATTCATGATACTTGGACTGAATCGTGCGTGTGGGAACAGCTGTTCCGTCGGGTCTGGTGTTACACGGTGACGCGATGTGCAAGTTGCTGTTAGTATTACATTGCTGCGAAAGGAGCTAATGACTACCGTACAATTGAAACGGAATAAACCAATCAACCAATACCTCAGTCGTGACGAGCTGTGAGTGACACCGGTGGTGTGGGGGCCCTGGGCTGATAATGCATACACTCCACCGCACTGCCACACCGCACTGCGGTGTGCCGCAAAGCCACACCACCACGCAACACCATTACACCGCAAAGCCACGCGAATTTTGTGATTGGAGAGCAAGATGCAATAATAGTAGTCTGTGGTCCTGCATGCAGAAGGAGGCACGATGCTGTCGAGGGGCTGCCTGGCAGGCCGGGCGTGTGTGACGGGCCGGGTGTGTGTGGCCGGCGTGCGGGGCCTGAACACCAAGGAGACGGGGCGACCCCTGATGCTCAACCCCCGCACCAACAAGGTGAACCCCCCACATCATCTCTGGGTGTGACCCTTGACCTACTAACACCGACAGACATCACACCCGCTGCTTACCCATCCTCACCACCTACTACCCCCCACCCACACCCGACCAAGTCCACCTTTCCCACACCACATCATAAATCCACACACTGTACCATACACCACACATTACAATACACACACACCACCACACTTACAATGTACCACACAGCATTGTTCACCACATTCCAACTACAGAACCACCTCACAAACCACTTCACGCTACTGTACTGCGCACCACTGCAGTGTACGGTACAGCAAAGACAAAGGTCTCCGATATAGCCTGCAAGAGACTACTGGGGATAGTGCTGTTAGTGAGCACCTTTAAAGGTCGGGACAGAACACGAAGGGGTGGGTGGCCAACGTCATGCCCGGCTGCCTTTGTCTCCCCAGTGGCGATGTTTATACACCACACCAGGTACTCATTTGAGAATGAGTTGACCGAGGTGCTGTCCACCCACCCCCTCGTGTGCCTTGCTGGTCTTCATAGGTGCTCGCTAATAGCACTTGCTCCTACAGTCTGTTTTGGCTATATGAGGGATGTTTGTCTTTTGTGTGTATGTACATGAGGGAGTGTGTGCATGAGGGAGCGGTTGTGTGTATGAGGGAATGTTCGTGTATGTGGCACGAGGGAGAATCTGTGTGAAGGAGGCTCGTGAAGAACGCTGCTGGGTAGTTGAAGGCAGTTGCCTTTCAACAACAGAGGAGCAACGCTCTCAACAACGAGCGGAGCGCCGGGCACTCGACTCAGCAAGTCGGGAAAGTGGGGAAAAGAGGTGATGCATTTGCCGGTCATCTCAGTAAACCTGTCCACAAGCCTTCGACACTTCACGTGACCTCAAAGTGCACCTAGCCTGGCACAAGTGCCGTGGTGATGTCATTGCCACTTAATGGCAAATGGTCGCTTTTGTTGTGCGAGCTAGCGAGCATGTGTGTGTGTGTGCGCGCGCGATTGTGTGTGAAAGTGAGTGTGGATGTCAGTGAAAATGAGTGTGTGGTGTAGCCCTGTAACTGTGTGTGTAGCAGTGTGTGTGTATAGCCGTATAACAGTTTGTGTAGCTGTGTGTATAGTTTTTTTTTGTAGCGTTAATAACACTGGTCAACAACAACAAAAAATTCTGGCCTGGACTTTTGCAGCTGTTTTAGACTAATTTCAGGGTGCTGATTCCAAATCTGATCTCAGATTTGCTCTATCACATCAAATTTATATGCTATCGGCATACCCCATTATCATTGATTTTACGGGAAATTAACTCTGCCACTTATGATTGCAAGTTGTTGCGAGTCAGTGACTGCTTTAGTGTTAAAATATGGTGCTGTATTTTTAGAATAGTGTGATTATAATATCATTTTATATCCACATTTATTTAATATTTTTCTTCTGCAGGGCGTGATCTAACTGGCTACAACATCCGAAAGAAGGAAATGCAGTAATGACCCAGATATCTTCTGCTACATCTGTGGCAGCTTCACTTTGCAGGATCAAAGGCGCAACATAAATACCTTTGTCAAGAAGTTTTATCTTGCCTACTTTAAAGTATGACTTGGAGACCAAGACAAAAATTGGGCTCCTCACAAAGTGTGTAAAACCTGTGTTGAAACTTTGCGATCATGGTCTAAAGGAAAGAATGCTAAGCTGAAGTTTGGTGTGCCAATGGTTTGGAGAGAACCTACAAACCATTTGGATAACTGCCACTTCTGCCCTGTCAATGTAAAAGGTTTCAATAAGAAATACAAACAACACTTACAATACCCAGATATCCCATCTGCCAGACGACCAGTTGAGCACTGTGAGGAAATACCTGTGCCTGTATTTATTGAGCTACCAGAGATTGATGTTGAATCCCTCAGTTTACCTGCTTCTACAGATGATGATGATGATGTTCAGATCGAATATACGCCATCTGATGCAGATTGTGATAACATTTCTCTGTTTAGTCGGCCTGAATTGAATGATCTTGTAAGAGATTTGTATTTGCCAAAGCAGTCTGCTGAATTGTTGGCTTCCAGGCTGCAAGAGAAAGGACTACTCAGACCTGGCACTAGTGTCTCCTTTTATCGTAACAGAGAAGCAGCACTGCGAAAGTACTTCCATTCAGATGGTCAACTTGTTTGTTGTAATGATGTTGAAGGGCTTCTTCTCAATATGGGACTGCCCGCATATGATTCAAGTGATGGAGACTTTTTTATTGACAGTAGTAAAAGGAGTTTGAAATGTGTGTTACTTCACAACAGAAATATATATGGTTCAATCCCAATAGGACACTTTGTAAAAATGAATGAAGAGTATGCCAACATCAAGATTGTTCTGGATAGATTGGAATACCATGTTCATGGATGGCTAATTTGTGTTGATTTGAAAATGGTAAATTTTTTGCTGGATCAGCAAGGAGGTCACATCAAATACCCTTGTTTCCTGTGCTACTGGGACAGTAGGGCTACATTAGAACACTGGGTTAAAAAGAACTGGCAACCAAGAATCAGTTTGACGCCTGGTGACAAGAACATCAAGAATGAGCCTCTGGTTGATAGGAATAAAATTGTATTTCCCCCACTGCACTTAAACTTGGGTTAATGAAGCAATTCGTCAAAGCTCTTGATCACACTGGAGACTGCTTCAGCTATATATGTTCAACATTTTCAAGTCCCAGTGCCGAGAAGAAAAAGGCAGGGATATTTAATGGCCCTCAAATAAGAACACTCATCAGGGATACACACTTTGTTACAACAATGACTGCGGCAGAGGCTAGAGCTTGGAATGCATTATCTGATGTGTTGTGGAATTTCCTAGGGAACAGGAAAGCGGACAACTATCGAGAGATTGTGGAGGAGCTGCTCTTGAGTTTCCAAGCACTTAGATGTAGAATGAGCATCAAGGTTCACTACTTGCATAGTCACTTGGCCCAGTTTCCAGAGAACATGGGTCACGTGAGCGAAGAGCAAGGTGAACGCTTTCATCAAGACATTAAAGTTATGGAAGAACGTTACCAAGGCCAATGGGACTCAAACATGATGGCAGATTACTGATGGTCCTTGATGAGAGACATTCCACAAGCCGTACATCAGAGATCGTCAAAGCAGAGGTCGTTTATGCAGATGTAACATCACTATTGTGAATGACCTTTTTGTACATATTTTTCTTATCTTCACAATTCAATTCTTTCATGGTAATATGCATTCACTCACATTGATATGCAGTCACTCTCACAACTTTGTGCTACGGCTCATTAAATGTTTGTTTCATTATTATTGTTTATTGTATCTTATCTTATTCTTGTAAGGATATCTGTTTAGCTATTCGTATATGAGCATAAATCTGCTTTAATTTTGGAGCTTTCGTGACTGCAGGAATTATTCTTTGGTTTTTTCGGTAAAGTCACGTATAAAAATAAAATAATAAATTAAATAATAGCATACGACGTTTCGATTGCAACACAAGCAATCATCATCAGGTATAATGAAATAGCGACATAGAATATAACCAGAAAACTATAGACAGACATATAAGCAGACAGATATCACCAAGATACATAGAGAGAGCAACCCAGGTACAGAGAGAGGTGATCGTCTCTGTGGGGTGGCCTTAAATAGACAGAGGGGGGCGGAGGCAGTTTGTTTGTCATTGACATGTAAATGTTTTCCCTACCCCCTCCCTCTCTCTGCCTCCGCCCCCCTCTGTCTATTTAAGGCCACCCCACAGAGACGATCACCTCTCTCTGTACCTGGGTTGCTCTCTCTATGTATCTTGGTGATATCTGTCTGCTTATATGTCTGTCTATAGTTTTCTGGTTATATTCTATGTCGCTATTTCATTATACCTGATGATGATTGCTTGTGTTGCAATCGAAACGTCGTATGCTATTATTTAATTTATTATTTTATTTTTATACGTGACTTTACCGAAAAAACCAAAGAAGCATAAATCTGCTGTTTTATTGAAAATGCAATATTTGATATCTCAAAAACCTTATGTGATAGACAAAAACTGATGCCAGATTTGGAATCAACACCCCAAAATTACCTTAAAACCGTTGGAATACCTTATGCCAGAAAAAGTGTGTTGACCAGTGTAATCGTTTGTAGTGTTGTAAGGACGGACTTCTAAACGTCTTTTATGGCACACACCGTTTATTATCTTAATAACACAGTCCCTATCACACTAAGGGGTATATGGTCCCCTCACCCGTTTCCCTCAGAAGGTACAAGCCTCTGGACCCTGCAGGCTATCTAATCTCCCTGCTCTCCCAGCGTCCTCTGGCTGGACCTAGGGGATCTCTCCCCGACCACTGGTTACTCTGAGCCCGAGCCCTGATAAGGGCTGGAGGGCTTGGTCCAGGGTCCTAGACGTCTTCGGCCGACTTGGGTCTTCGTGTAGCAGAACCCCTCCAGAGCTCTCAGCGCTCTGGCTTGTATACCTGTTCATGGCCGGGTTGTCCAATCCCCGGCCCCTTGTGAGACCCTCTGATTGGTCCTTCCCAATCTGGGTTTGGATCCTACCTCACCCCATTTGACCCTGACCGTTTGATTGAGCGGGAAAACCTTGTTTACGATCTGCTGTCACAGTTTGCGAACAGCAAGTAGTTAACACCACTACACGTTTAACGTTTTCTTTGGCAGTTTGTTTGATACGCGTTTTTCCGTTCGTGTGCCTGTGAGCTAACACTTGCATCTGTATATTTGTATTATTTGTGTCCCTGTTTCTGTTGGTGTATCTGTGTGCTTGTGTTCGTGTCTGTTTATGCTTATTTGTGCTTTGGTACTTTATGTATTGTACTGTGTACTTTAGTGTTTGGTACATCCTATTGTAGCTTACTGTACAGTGTTCAGAAGGGGGGGATTGGCACACAGATTTTAACAACTACAGGGGCATCTCTCTTCTCAGTGAGCCGGAAAATGTCCTGCCAAGGATTAATCAGCATCGCCGCCTTGCCAGGCAAGCTGAGGAGAGGTTTGCGGAGCCCAGATATGGTTTTAGACCAGGACGGACCTGCATGGATGTCATATTCTCCGTCCGTCTGCTACAGCAGAGGTGTCAGGAATTCCACCAAGACCTATATCTCTGCTTAATTGACCTGATCAAGGCCTATGATACCATCAACAGGCCAGGGTTTTGGGCTGTTCTTCATGCTTTCGGAGTCTCTGACTCTGCACACAATTCATTCGGGGCCTTCATGATGGTTGGCAGGCCAAGGTAAAGCTACGTGGCCAGGAGTCGGAGCCATTTCCTGTTAAATTTGGGGTACGACAGGGATGTACTCTGCTTTCCCACCTGATGATGGACACTTGTGTTGCGCCCGAAACGTCGTGATTTATTTTATTTTATACCTACGTGACTTTACCGAAAGAACCAAAGAGTATTTGACCACGTAGTTTGAGAATCTTTCCGTGGCTGAACCAGAGAAATTTCCATCTGGTACAGATACAATGGTAGACTGATTGATGCCCGGGTTCCGTCGGGGGATAGCTCCCTATTGGTCAGCCATGTTATGTATGCTGATAATCTAGTGATTACTGCTCACTCAGAGGTAGAGTTGGAGGTGCTGCTGCTGAACCTGGAGCGTGCTATGAAGAGGTAAAGGTCTTTACCATCAGCCCTATGAAAACTAAGCACCTGCCTGGGTTTTTTGTACCATCAAACACTCAACTCTCTCAACTCAACATTGGTGATCGAGCAGTTGTGGAGAGAGTGGAGAGTTCCCATACCTGGGCAGTGTGCTTATGACCAGCTCCAGTTGGACAGCAGAAGTCTCACTCCAAATTAGTTGGGCAGCATTATCTTTTCATTGGCTGCGTCATGCGGTGTGGAAGCTACCTAGTCTGTCACTACATGAAGCTTCTGGTCTTCTCGGCCACATTTTGTACGTTTGCCCACTGACAAAGAAATGATCAGTCTATAATTTTAATGGTAGGTTTATTCTAACAGTGAGAGACAGAATAACAACAACAAAATGCAGAAAAACGCATGTCAAAAATGTTATAAATTAATTTGCATTTTAATGAGGGAAATAAGTATTTGACCCCTCTGCAAAACATGACTTAGTACTTGGTGGCAAAACCCTTGTTGGCAGTCACAGAGGTCAGATGTTTCTTGTAGTTGGCCACCAGGTTTGCACACATCTCAGGAGGGATTTTGTCCCACTCCTCTTTGCAGATCTTCTCCAAGTCATTAAGGTTTTGAGGTTGAGGTTTGGCAACTCGAACCTTCAGCTCTTTCCACAGATGTTCTATGGGATTAAGGTCTGGAGACTGGCTAGGCCACTCCAGGACCTTAATGTGCTTCTTCTTGAGCCACTCCTTTGTTGCCTTGGCCGTGTGTTTGGGTCATTGTCATGCTGGAATACCCATCCACGTCCCATTTTCAATGCTCTGGCTGAGGGAAGGAGGTTCTCACCCAAGATTTGACGGTACATGGCCCCCGTCCCTTTGATGCGGTGAAGTTGTCCTGTCCCCTTAGCAGAAAAACACCCCCAAAGCATAATGTTTCCACCTCCATGTTTGACAGTGGGGATTGTGTTTTTGGGGTCATAGGCAGCATTCCTCCTCCTCCAAACACGGCGAGTTGAGTTGATGCCAAAGAGCTCCATTTTGGTCTCATCTGACCACAACACTTTCACCCAGTTGTCCTCTGAATCATTCAGATGTTCATTGGCAAACTTCAGACGGGCATGTATATGTGCTTTCTTGAGCAGGGGGACCTTGCGGGCGCTGCAGGATTTCAGTCCTTCACGGCGTAGTGTGTTACCAACTGTTTTCTTGGTGACTATGGTCCCAGCTGCCTTGAGATCATTGACAAGATCCTGGGCTGATTCCTCACCGTTCTCATGATCATTGCAACTCCACGAGGTGAGATCTTGCATGGAGCCCCAGGCCGAGGGAGATTGACAGTTCTTTTGTGTTTCTTCCATTTGCGAATAATCGCACCAACTGTTGTCACCTCACCAAGCTGCTTGGCGATGGTCTTGTAGCCCATTCCAGCCTTGTGTAGGTCTACAATCTTGTCCCTGACATCCTTGGAGAACTCTTTTGTCTTGGCCATGGTGGAGAGTTTGGAATCTGATTGATTGATTACTTTTGTGAACAGGTGTCTTTTATACAGGTAACAAGCTGAGATTATGAGCACTCCCTTTAAGAGTGTGCTCCTAATCTCAGCTCGTTACCTGTATAAAAGACACCTGGGAGCCAGAAATCTTTCTGATTGAGAGGGGGTCAAATACTTATTTCCCTCATTAAAATGCAAATCAATTCATAACATTTTTGACATGCGTTTTTCTGGATTTTGTTGTTGTTATTCTTTCTCTCACTGTTCAAATAAACCTACCATTAAAATTATAGACTGATCATTTCTTTGTCAGTGGGCAAACGTACAAAATCAGCAGGGGATCAAATACTTTTTTCCCTCACTGTATGCCCCCCCTTCTCTATGCTTGTGAAACGTGGACCCCTCTAATGGAACATTTACACCGGTTATACAAATTCAGGCTGGTCTGCCTACGATCCATCCTGGGTTTAACCAGGCTGGATTGTGTTGAGCTCTCAAATTCTTGAAAGATCTGGGCACATTTCCCTCAGAGCTCCTCCTGCAAGCAAGGCTGCGTTGACTGGGCCATGTAGCTTGCATGCCCAGCCACCACATGCCCAAGCAGCTTCTGTTTGGCCAGATAGAGGGGGCCAAACAGGCATGACATGGGCTGGAAAATATATTGACTTATGCGGTACATGAGGATGTGGAGCTGAGTGGACTTGCCGAAGACTGGTACTAGCGATGTCAAGATCGACCTCTATGGAGGATGCTCGTGAAGGATGCTACCTAGCAGTTGGAGGCAGTCGCCCTCCAAAAACAACAGAGGGCAAAAGAGTGATGCTCACAACAATGAGCGGCACGCCCGGCGGCTGCCATGCAGCTGCTTCGCTTTCTGCGGTGGAAAACAATTGCCTGCCGGCAATGACGTCCGAGCGATACCATGCGACCTTAAATGTATATGTAATAAAGGTCGCGAAAGCAACTTCTGAAATCAGGTTTGTTTATTATCTTCCTTCCACAGCTCTCATCATACGGACTCTTCTGCTATCTAACTCCTTCACGCTGTTGACAGACAGCGTGAGAGGGACGGATAGAGAGAGAGAGACTGTTGCTGCCACGTGGCAGGCTCTGGACCCCCGGCTCCTGCGTGGCTTCTCCCTTCGTTCTAGTTCTGACCACGTGTTACCTGTCTCCACCCCTTTTAATCCCTGGGTCACGTGGTGCCTTTCAACCAGTCCTGGGTAACCTCCCTGGAATCTTCCA